GAGATAAGTGAGTGCCTCCAGTGCTGCATCAGTTGAAAGATTTCAATTTGTTTTCTATCATTTCCCAGTGTCTTGTTCTTTGCCAATGACTTAAATGCATCTTGGACTTCTTCCTTCAGGATCATTGGTTCTGGATCATATTCTACCTCTTGAAATGGTTAAACATTGGCCATTTCCTTTTGGTATAGTAACTCTGTGTATTCCTTCCATCTTCTCTTGATGCTTTCTGCATCATTCAGTAATTTGCCCAGAGAATCCTTCAATAATGAAAGTTGAGGTTTGAATTTTTTCTTCAGTTCCCCCAGCTTGAGAAATGCTGAGCATGTTCTCGTTTGGTTTTCTGATTCCAGGTCTTTGCACGATTTGTTAGAGACTTTGTCTTCTCCAGCTGACCTTTGAAATTTTTTATTCAGGGCTTGTATCTCCTCATTTCTTCCATTTGCTTTAACATCTCTATGCTGGAGAGCAAGTTTCATAGTCTTTTCTGACATCCATTTTGGTCTTTTCTTTCTTTGTTGTCTTTTTAATGACCTTTTGCTTTCTTCCTGTATGATATGTCTTGATGTTACCATGGGTGACACTGTTACTGAACTTGATGCTACTACATAACATCAGTCTTTTTCTAGCTTCTGCTAACAGCGTCTCACTGTTCTTCTAGCCCCCACTAGCAAGTGTGCGCAAGGCCCTCCAGGCCTCCAAAAGATTTCTGATATGATGTAAATGCACCAGTTCCTGGCTTTGGTTGTCTATTGCTGTGCAACCAAACTATGCCCAACAGCCAATACACATTTTATACAGTTTGGGAGCTGGAGAATCCACTTCCGTATATAACGTCTTCAGTTACAAGTCTGCAGCTTGAAGTCTCCTTGCTCTCTCTTTCATTCCATCCGTTTTCTGATCTTTTGGTACCTCTTCCTGCTGCTCAGGCTTTGGACAGCATGGTGGTCTCAGAGTAGTGGTATTTTGTACATAATGGCTGGTATCCAAGAAGGAGTTTCTCAAGAATGAGAGATTCGAGTGCAAGAGTCCCAAGAGGCAGGAAGAGGAAACTGCCAGGCTAGTTAAGGACTATAATCAGAACCGGCACACTCTTACTTCTGCCACTTTTTGTTTATTAGCGTAATTAAAGAACTGAACCAGATTCAAAAGGGTAGAGATATGTATTACACCTCTTGATAGGGTATTGCTTGTGCTGTATAG